GCGTGCGTGCGTGCGTGCGTGCGTGCGTGCGTGCGTGTGTGGGTGGGTGTGTGTGTGTGTGTGTGTGTGTGTGCGTGTGTGGTTAACTTAGCGAACGAGCCGAACAAGAGTTGTTCGTGCACAACAAGTCGTTTTGACAGCCCAAGTAGCTGCCACAAGAAGCTATTGCGCGATAGCTGACATAGGAAGCTTCTGCGCAGAAAATGTTGCGGATATGTTGACTGTCTATTTGTTTTCTACAGTTTGAAAGCAGTTATGTTGCAGTTGTTTATGGACAAATGATTATTCTACCCATGTATAATGTTGTTCTTTGCAACATAACAGTTCATACCAATACATTTTAAATTTTAAAAGCAAAAATCAAGTGCAAAACATTACAAAATAAAGATAAACACCTCACGTAACAGTAAGTAGCATAATTACTAAAATTTTAAAAAAAAAAGAATATAAAAATAACACCTAATATTATGATAATATTATTTTTGAAATGCGGACAACGTATGTCACGAGCTAAGTCGTCCTCTACGGATACTCTTCATGCCCGATCACTCTCAGATCTCATGGGGAAAACACAACAAAACTTGAAATTCATATATAAAATCAAAATCATACAAACTACAACAAGTAAATAAACTTATCTCTAATTTCTCCTCAAGAAAACTCCTCAAAGTTCCTCTGAATCTATTCCTTTCTTTACAGCACACAGAATTCCTCTTCGAAGCGGCAAGGAGAAAGAAATCTCTCACTTTCCCTCCACTCTTACAATCTCTCGAAAGATTCCTCATAAATTAGACACTCTAGTAAACTCTCTACACACTAATGGAACCTTTCTAACCTCTAGGACCTCCAGGCTCTCTTCAATTTTCGGCCAAACTCTTCTTTTAAAGTTGTGGATGAGCTTTCCCAAGAGTTGTCTAAGCACCCCTCCAAAATTTGTCCTCATCCAAAGCCTGGTTTGACATAACTGCTGATCTCACCGTCGGCGGCCTCGAGGGCATCGTCAGCGGGCCTTCTTAGAGAATTTATTTTGTAGTCTCGTTGTAGTCTCGGGAAAATCTCGTCGTCGGCGTCCTAGTTCAATTCTTAACATTTTGGTCTTTTTTGCTCTAAATTCGCTCCTTTTTGCATATTTTTGCTCCAATGACCCTAATTCATCATTCCTGCAACAAAACATTAAAAATACATTTTTTAAAGTGCAATTTTAAAGTGCAATATCATCAAAAATCATCAAAAACAGTATAAAATGGGTATAAAAATCTCAACATATTTTCCTTTGGTCCTGAGGTCTCGGAAAACTCAGTATATAAACCAATGAATATGTTATTATAAGAAGACAACAGAACTTATAAAAAAGAGTTATTAGTTTCCATTAACCCACATAATACCAAGCTCGTGTGTGTGATATATGCATATTACCAAAAAAAACCATCCAGAAGAACCTCGAAAATCGTAACACCAACAAAAAGAGAGGAACTTGGTTGTCTTCATTAGGATTTAGCATGTGACACCAACCAATAACGACAAACAGATAATCCAGAAGAACTCATAGGGTCAAACGTCTCATCATAGATCTTCAAAACCCACCAAAATAAATACAAAAGAAATACAAAACAAATGTAAAATAAAAAAAAGACACTTGCGAATTGCGTAAAAAATCAAAATAATCAATATCAAACACACATAGAAAGTAAATAAACATGAACTTATAAAATACTTATACAATAAATAGTGAACCTCTGCAACAACCATTGAAATTAATAATATGATAAAAGCTTCAATCACCCTTCGACTGTCGCATCCATAATTCGTTCAATCAACTCTGTCATCTCGCTTGCAGCTTCCCCTTCTTTAGTACAGGTCTCAGAAACATCATTTTTGGCCTGTGAAAAAGACTTTCCAATACGGTACTCATATCTCTCGGCGAGGACATGTTCACGATCTTTGTCCTTCTTACGGGATTCAATGACGTTGCTTGAAGGTTGTCGCCGAATATAATTGTGGAGAGTCATCATGACAATTACAATCTGCACTTGTTTGTAAAACGAGCAAGAAGACATATCACGAATTATAACTCATTTCTTCCTCAAAACACTAAAAGTCCTCTCAATAATACTGCGTAATGATGAATGTCTTTTGTTGAATATTTCGTGACATTGTTGACTCGCACAAAATTAGTTATGTGATATTTTGTATCCAGATAGGACATGAGATACGCTCGCTGCAACAGATACCCAGCCTACACAAATTATTATTTACGCGATGTGAATTGAATGTTTAGCTTTGAAGGAAAAAAGAATTAGGAGAGTAGCTCAGCCTCAAGCAAACCTGTGTCTGGATGTGGAAGTTGAATTTGTTATTCCATGTTGCAGATTTAAATTTTTGACTGTCATGTGCACTGCCCTTTCTATCGGCCATGAAACAAGTGAAGCACATGTTGAAGTCGCATGCCGCCAGAATATTCTTGGTCGGGGACCTACAACGGTCGATGAATGTGATCTTCACATTATTTGGAACAAGTGCATCAACGTGTGTTTCATTGATTGCTCCAAAACAATTCTAGAGAAGATAATGAAGGGCTACATAATTATGATATTTATATGAAAATTGAATGTAATAAATAGAAGAAATTACTTTAAAGTATGACATATATCGTGCATCCTGTGAAATCTCTGTAGAGGTCCATTCGAATGTAGGATCTATTAGTTTTATGACTTGTGAAGAAAAACTGACCAGTGCATTCAACCCTACTGAGAAGTGTATTGAAATAGTTTAAGATGGGTGTTCAAATGGATTCATACCTCTTCACATTGATTCATTATGCAATAATATGTAGAGGGACTTTGTCAACACAACTGGCGAAGTCGTTCTGGATGAGTAATGAAGTCCATGTTTTTTGTGTAGTTCCTCCAAAATATCGGTGAATATCATCTGTGTCATGCGAAACATATTCCTAAATCTCGTTGGATGGCCTACGTGCGACTCCCCAACCCATTTGTTTCCAGCTTATGAGGAATGCATGCAAAGGGAACCCTCTGTGTATAAGTTATAATATTCGTACATTAAGCATACGACAACTGCAAATCTCTTTTTGCGCCTTTCTATGGTTGCATCCATGCATTTCAGTATCAAAGTGGCTAACATATAAACATCAATGAATTAGTTACATTCATATAAGATTACGAACAAAACCAACATAAACAAATAGCATTACAAATGTAAATAAAAAACATGATGAGTAATGAAAACACTCGAGTGACATTTCCAAAGTAGCATAAATATCCAAAACATCATTAAAAACCATAAACAAATAGAAATGTTCCACAATAATTAAATTTTAAA